CTCCACTGGAACACCTCCTGAATTCCAAAGGTTTCCTAATCCAGGGGGAGGGGTTTCTATGGCATCCGAGGTGCTGCCCCTCGGGTCACATTGTCAATAAACCATCCAGCTGATTTGGATGGGTGTAAGAGCTCTGGAACACAGGATAAGGAGTCATCCCCTGAAAAACGTGGAATATTCCCTACCTGAATCCTAACCCAAAGAGGAGAGTTTGGATCCAATTCCCAAATAGTTTGGAAACTCCAGTCATTCCTGACACCAGGATGGAAATTCAGCAGATAACTAAAGCCAGTCCCCTTGGGAGCCCACAACCAGCGGGGCTGAGGGAGGCCCTGGCAGCTCCCCAGCACCTCCCTCTCAGTGCGACACCTCTGGCAGCCTCTCCCAGCTCGGGAACCCTCCAGTTTCCAACACTCCAAAGAACCCTCACTGATGCCCAGGACAATTCTGATCCCCCTCCACAAACACTCCTCCAGCTGTGACCCTTGTCTGTTGGGAAACACAAAGGGATTTGGGGGAGTGTTTCCCTGACAACAAGGAGAATTTGGGAGAGGGACCTTTCCACACCCAGCTACTGATGTGTCCACACATCTCTGCCTGGGTGTGGGTGTGAATTGACTGTGGTGGGAATGTTGTTATTGTGAATCTATAATTTAGTCACTGTTAAAATTGTAGCAAATGCTATTGAATCACCTGATAACTGTTCAATTGGTCAATGATTAAATGCTACTAAGACCTTTTGCCCCCTTGTCTTTGGATCAAAATCCTTTGCACCCTGACCCTCTTGCATCCCAAGGCTCTGTGTAAATCATTCCTATTCATCAAAAAATATATATTTTTCATGACTTTCACTTTAAAGTCATCCTCCTTAGCTAAACTTAAAAACAACTCAAATTAGCTGTAGAAATCTTGAAGATTGAAGACAATTAAAGGAATAGAAATAATTTGTTTTCCTGTGTTTTAATGGTCCCAAAGTGTGTTTGGAGCTGCATCAGCTGTCAGTCCAAGATGGGCCATGTCAGAACTGGGGAGGTTGGGGGGTGAGGAGCAAGGCTGATCATCCAGGGTCAGTGTGGATCTCCTGAGGAGACACTCAGCATCAAGATCACTTGGAGAACACCTCTATCAGCTCTCCTCTGAACAGAAAAGTATCCATAATTGAATTAAAAAAAAAAAGTACAAATTTTGAAGACTTGTTTTGAAATTGCCTTGAAGACAATTAAAGGAAGACAAAGAGATCCTGAGGGATTTCTGGAATTTAATGAGCCCCATGGTGTGTTTGCAGCCCAGCCCATGATCCTGAGGTACTGAGAGAAGATTGAAGCAGCTGCTGAAGAAGTCAGAAGCCAAAGTCCAAGTCCCCTGAAGCATTGCTGGGCCCCACTGAGGGCAGGCACTGCCAAAGCCTCCCCAGGGACTCCTTGGAGCAGCTCCTTGGAGGCCAGGAGTGCAGGCAGACAAAGGCCCTGGGCAGGCCCCTGCAATGCTGAGCAAAGCCTGCCTTGGTTTTGTGGAGCACAAAGGCCAAGGCCTGAGCCCCAGGCCCTGGCCCAGCAGATCCTGTCCCTCCCGGCTGGCTCAGGGCTGTTTGGGGGGCACTGGGATGGGAGGGGGAGGAACAACAAAGGCCCAAAACTGGGCAACCCCTGCCAGGCTCCTGAGGGAGGGGCGAGGCAGAACCCAAGTGCAGAACCTGCCAGGCAAGTTGCTTGTGGTGACCTGAGTGGCAGAGGCAGCTGCCAGAGGCAAGGGGACAAAGGCCTGGGTGCCTTTGGGCCTTGCAGCCCTACCAGAGCCCTTGGCCATCTCTCCTGCAGGCTGTCCTGCCCTGGCCCTGCTGCTGCTCTGGCCTTGCAGGCTGCACACACCCCTCCTGCTTTCCCACCCCCTCCCAGCAGCATTTCTAGCCCCTCCCTGATGGCTCTGCACCAGCTCTGGCTGTTCCCTGGAACACAAAGCCATGGGCTGATCCTGACTCCCTCTGGGTGAGCTCTTGCAGCACAAGGGTCCCCGTTGAGTGATATTTCTTTTTCTTCACCTTCAGTCTGAACTTTCAGTGCTACTCTTTGTGGAGATTTCATTCTATTTCCAATACAGAGAAAAGTTCCATCCTGTCAGATCTCCTCTAGACCCTCTCCAGTTCTTCCTCATTCCTCCAGAATGGGGAACCTCACAGACAGACAGACCAGTCCAGATGTGGTGACCCCAGGGCTGAGTCCAGGGGGGTGACAACTCCCTTCTCTGGGTGCCCAAGTGGCACCGTGACACTGCAGGGCCTCATGGAACCAAAGGATAGCAGGGACACTGTGGAATCTCATGGAACCAAGGAACCATTGTGACATGTGGGGTCTCTTTGGAACAGAAGGAATCCTGGGACATCTCAGAGCGTCCTGGAACCAAGGGCCCACTGTGCCTCCCCAGAACTCCATGGAATCAAGCAGAGCCGCTGCCTCCCCCCCGCCGCCGCACGGATCGGAGTCGCCGGCTCTGCCCCGCTTGGACACCTCTGGAGTCAGCGTGTTCTTGGGCAGCACAACTGATCTCAGACCAGAGAGTTTCCCACATTTTGCTTTGCCCTCTCTTTCATGTGGTTTTGTTTTTTGTTCTTTGTTCATTCAGGGGGAAAAGGGGGAAGGGAGGCACGTGTTGATCCCTGTTTGTATCTGTTTACAAAAGGGAGTTGGGTCGAGGGGGAGAGAGGAGGCAATTTCTCTCTCTGCTGTAGCTTTGAACTCTTCTGTTGTTATTGCTGGTTTTGCTGCTATATTTCTTGACAGTAAAGTCTTATTGTTTTCACCTCTACCTCCTTATATTTTGTCTCCTTGTACTGGTGGGGAATAAAAGAGGAGTGAATTAATTTTATTGGAGTTCCCACCCCAATATGTGTCTTTAAACCAGGACAGGTTGCTCAAGGGCTCCCTGAAATTTGGCATCATCCACAAAGGACTTGAAAATACATTTTGTCCCATTGTACAGAGAGATAATAAAGATGTTCTATAGTGGTGTTCAAGGGCTGGTCACTGAGGGATTTTACCAGGAAGTTGCTGCCAAGAGGACTTTGTACCATGGATTTTATTTGACACTTCATTCAGCCAACTTCCCACCATCTTCCACGTCTTCAGTCCAGCTCTCACCAATCTGACCATAAGGAGACCACAAAAGAGCATGCTAGGGGACTTGATGAAGTCTGGGCACACAACATCCTCTGTTCCCTCCCACAGGGGTTCTGCAATCCCTGACTTGTCCTTCCCATGCCTGGGAATGGCTGCAGGAGGACTTGCCCTATCCCCTTCCCTGCTGAGCCTGAGCAGTCTGGAACTCTCCCAACCCTCTTTGCTGCCCTGTTTGCAGACTGGTTCCATGTCTGCCTTTGCCAAGGCCCCAGGAAGCTCTGGGCTGGCTCTGGCCTTTCCAAGGGTTTGGAAGAGTTCTCCAAGTGACACTGCCCAGCCTTCTCAATATCCCTGACACCAAAACCTTTTCAACATCCCACACTTCCAGAGGAGTGCCCAGGACACAACACAGGTTGTCCTGGTGGTTCTGGAGAATGAGAAGGGATTTCTCCCTAGAGACCAACCCCTCCAATTGGATCAGAGTGCAGCTGAAAGGTTTCCTCATCATTTTGCCCCTCCCTGCCCTGAAGGTTTCTGGCCCTCAGGCTGGAGCTGAGGGGGTTGGGCAGGTGCCTGAGGAGGGGGGAGAACAAGGGCTGTGTCCAACTGTGCCAGGAGGGCTGTGCTGGGCAAGGATGAGGAGGCTGCAGAAAACAGTGGCACTGGGGAGGTGAGAGGAGCAGCTGGAGAGACCTTGTGCCTGCCCACGCTGGGCAGGAGCTGCCCCAGGATGGCAGCTCTGAAGCACTCCCAGGATGTCCCTGTGAACAGGAGGGGAAGACTGGATCTGAAAATGAAACCTGGAAAGCAGAGAGCAGGAGTTTCATGGTGTCACTGCAGGAGAGTTGCAGCCCTGGAGTAAGGTCACAGAAGCAGTGACCCAGTACATGCCCTGCCCTCAGAAGATCCCACAGCATCCTGGAGATGCTGGAAGGGAGCCCAGCTCTGCATCACAAGTTCCCAGGGCCTGTCTCTGCCTGTGCTCCAAGGGCTTCCAGCCCCCAGAACTGTGCTCAGAGAGCACTCAGGCCTCACACTGAGAAAGGGGCTCAGGAGGACAGTGTGGGAGTGGCAAGAGAGCAGCTCTGCAAAGACCAAGCCCTGCTGCTCCCTGGCAGTGCTGCTGGGCTGGGATTATTGTCCCCTTCCCCTTTGCAAATACACCCTGTCCTGCAGTGTGCTGTCCTTTAGGAACATCTAAGAAGAAGGGTTTTAGACAAAGAAGGCACTGCAGGGTCCTTTATTTTGTTTAAATACTCAGACAGCACAGTTCATCATTTATACATGTCTGGGTCAAATTCAATGGGTAGACAATAAATTAGAAGGCAGATGCATAATAATATTTCATTGCACAGAAAATTATTGCAAAAAGAACCCATTGACCTCCACGAAAAACCTGAGCCAGAAGGTTGGGCTACTAAAGAGTCCCATTCTGAATGCTACACACCAGAAAACAGGCACTTTATTGCTCCTGAAAAACATCCAGTCATCATTTTCCTCAGGGCATCCTTGAGCTCCTGGTTCCTCAAACTGTAGATGAGGGGGTTCAGTGCTGGAGGCACTACCGAGTACAGAACTGATAGTGCCAGATCCAGGGATGGGGAGGAGATGGAGGGGGGTTTCAGGTGAGAAAATATGCCGGTGCTGAGGAACAGGGAGACCACGGCCAGGTGAGGGAGGCACGTGGAAAAGGCTTTGTGCCGTCCCTGCTGAGAGGGGATCCTCAGCACAGCCCTGAAGATCTGCACATAGGAGAAAACAATGAAAACAAAACAAGCAAGTGATGAGCTGGCAGTAGCCAGAAGAAGGTCAATTTCCTTGCGGTAGCCTGAGTGTGAGCAGGAGAGCTTGAGGATGTGTGGGATTTCACAGAAGAACTGGCCCAGGGCATTGCCCTGGCACAGGGGCAGGGAAAATGTATTGGCTGTGTGCAGCAGAGCAGTGAGAAACCCAGTGGCCCAGGCAGCTGCTGCCATGTGGGCACAAGCTCTGCTGCCCAGGAGGGTCCCGTAGTGCAGGGGTTTGCAGATGGCAACGTAGCGGTCGTAGCACATGGTGGTGAGGAGGGAATACTCTGCTGAGAGGAAGAAGAGGAAGAAAAAGAGCTGTGCAGCACATCCCATGTAGGAGATGGTTGTGGTGTTACGGAGGGAGTTGTCCATGGCTTTGGGGACAGTGGTGCAGATGCAGCCCAGGTCTGTGAGGGAGAGGTTGAGCAGGAAGAAGCCCATGGGGGTGTGCAGGTGGTGGTCCCAGGCTACGGCGCTGAGGATGAGGCCGTTGGCCAGGAGGGCAGCCAGGGAGATGGCCAGGAAGAGCCAGAAGTGCAGGAGCTGCAGCTCCCACCTGTCTGCCAATGCCAGGAGGAGGAACTGGGCCATGGAGCTGCTGTTGGACATTTGTTCCTTCCTCAGACTATTTTAATCTGTTGAGGAAAAGTCACTGCTGAGTTAGACCAGGCTTCTGCAGCCAAACATTACACTTCTCACAGCCACCCCATTCTCAGGCTCTCTCTCCTCTCTCAGACCTCCCTGTAGCTCCCTCCCCTGAGCTCTGGGTTTTGCTGCTTGAGGGGACCACGTTAAGCAGTAACTCTGTGATGGGCTCTTATGGACTCCTTGCTCTGCTGGGAGAGGGAACCTGGAATGCAGGATGACCTCAAATTAAATGTGCTCGTGATACATCAAAGAGCTTCTCAGCTTTGCTGTTTGCAATTTGCCCAAATGAAGGACTGAGCTGAGGGAATTCTTTGTATTTGTTCACCCACTTGCACCTGCCACAGTTAGGAGTGGTTGTGGAGGTTTGAAATCCCTGACATTTCTATTGCACTGCAGGTCAAGTCTTGTGGGTTCTGAGAGGCACAGGGACGGTCCCTTAGTGCAGAGAGAAGAGCTGCTCTGCCTGTCAGTCCTGGGCTCAGCTGCCCTGTGCTGGCAGCTTGGAGCTGGAGGAGCGTCACACTCAACTGTTCCCCTCCAAAGAAACTGCACAGAGATCCAGGAATCCAAATCCAAAGAACAGATTGACACACTCCTCACCTTTTCATCTCTCCCCTCCCAGACTGAGACACAAAATGCTCACTGCAGCTGCCCAGAGCATATCCATGGATTTAGCACTGAGGAGTTTTCTCCATGGGGATCCTGTGCAGCACAGAGATCCTATGGCAGAGCTGTGCCCTTCTGGAGGGCACCTGCAGCCCTGCAGGACACCCAGGCAAACAGCTGAAGACCCTGAAGGTGCCTGGAGGGCACTTGGGCACTTTGCTCCCACAGACACATCCCCACAGCAGCACCCAAAGGGTTTGTGTCCGGACAGGAATCTGCCCCCCCAAACTCCACAGTGGCTCAGAAAAGCCAATGGTGAGAACAAGGAGAGCCCAGGCAGCAGGGGATGGCAGTGAAATGCCACAGTGCTGCTGCCAAGGGAGGAGGGACACAGAGAGACAGCTGGAAATCAGGGCCTTGTCCTTGCCTGGGCTCTGGCTGCTGCAGGGCAATGCCCAGCCCAGCCCCCGTGGGCCTGAGGGCACAGGCTCTGCTTAGGCTGGGAAAGGAGCCCAGGCAGGAGCTGCTCAGGGAAGGGGTCTGTGCCACAGGGACAGCAGGGAGGGGCCCCCATCCCCCTGCCCAGCCCCTGTGGCAGCAGCTCCCTCTCCCTGCCTGCCTGTCTCTGGGTGAGGAGCTGTTCCTGCCAGCAGCCCTTGCCTGTGCCCAGCTCAGCTCCCTGCCAGTGCTGCCAGAGCCATCCCCAGCCCAGTGCCCAGGGGCAGCTCTGCCTGGGCAGGGGCTGCAGAGCAGATCCCAGATCCCCTGCGGTGGCTGGGAAGGGGGAGGTGTTCTGGGGGGATGTGCTTCCTGAGAAGGGCCCCTGGAAATGGAGGAGGTGGAGCTGAAGCTGTGAGGAGCCCTGACCCTGCAGCTGAAGGGCCCTGCCCAGCCCTGCCCTGCCCTGAGGGGTCACTCCTTCCACCCACCCCTTCTCCCTGCAGGGCCGTGGCAGCTCCTTGGCCGGGCTGAGAGCTGACCCTGGCAGGCAGCAGAGTCCCTGCCCCAGCACACAGAGCCCTGGGGGGCAGGACCCTGCTCTGCCCCACAGCCCTGGGCACCCCTGGCTGCACCCCCACCTTCCCACCCCACAGCCAGCCCTGGCACAGGGAACCTTCTTGCCCTGGGCCTCTGATGGGGCAGCAGCAAGTCCTGCTCTGCAGCAGCTTCTCCTGCTGCACCCCAGCAAATCCAGCAGAGCCATCCTGACAGCTCCTGCCACTGCTGCCATTTGGCAGCTGGCAGAGGCACTTGCAGGAACTCACCTGCCCTGCTCTGCAGCCAGAGCCTGACCGTGGCAAAGGGCTGGCAAGGTTCCTGCCCTGAGCAGCTCTGCCCTGTCCTCCCACCCCAGGATCCCTTGAACCTCCTGCTCACTTCTCCTCTCTGCCCTTGCTGCCTGCAACTCCTGCCCTGCTCTGCCATATGGCCACTTCCCCTGCACTGCAGCAACTGGGAGAGTCCTGCTGAAAGATCCTAGAAGCTGTGGGATGTGCCAGCTTTAGGAGATGCCTCCAGGAAGAGAAGCTGAACTTTCCTACAGCCAGAGAATTCTTCCTTCAAATCCTGGGAAGGTTTCTCCCATAAGTGAGAGCTCAGTCACCTCCCAGCCCAGGCTGCCTCTCATCTCTCTGCCTTCTCTCCTGTGCCCTGGGTGCTGCAGGCAGTGCCCTCAGCCCTGCTGGGCTGTGCAGAGGAGCTGCTCACCAGCAGAGCTGGCTCTTTGAAGCTCTTCTTGCTTGCCAGGAGCTTCCTGTGTGCCAGGAGCCCGGCTCAGCTCAGCAGCACAGCAACAGCCCCAGGCAGCCCTTTCTCTGCCCCTCTGGGCTCCCTCCAGCTGTCCCTGGGGCTCCAGGAGAACCTGCTGGCACACAGCTGAAGGAAATAATGATGTTCCTTCTCTCAGCTGGGCACAGACACTTCTTTCAGCACTGTCACCCTAGAGGTGTTCAGGTGACCAAATGGAGTCAGGTGGCACAGGGAGAGAGGTCTCTCTCCTGTTCTTTAGCAGGGTATTTTCTATATGTCCTTGGAGTACAATGGCAGTTGTCTCATGGACATCCCTTCAATGCTGAACCTAATTCAGGGCAGCAGAGCCTGGATTGAACAGCCAAAGAGGGGCCTGTAGTGCCAGGGGAGGTGCCAGGGCTCTGCAGCACAAGTGCAGCAGCTGCCATGGACAGCACAGGGCCTGTGCAGGGACCCCATCCCAATTCCCAGCAGTTGTGGGACAGGCACCACCCAGGGCTTCTCAGACACATTGGGGGCCTTTGGGGCAGGGAGTGAATCCCAGCCCTGCAGGGACACAAAGGCTGTCCCTTCTCTGCCCAGCCAAGGCCGGGCCAGGCACGAGTCCAAATCCCATCAGCCCAGGCTGTCCACACTTGTTCCCTCCCTCTGCTGGCTCTGCTCTCCCCCAGCATTTCAGCAGCATGTGCTGATCTCCTCAGGGATCAGGCCTGGGATTTTCCCCCTGGGCCTGAGTCCCAGCACGTCCACCCCCAAGGCCATTGTCAGCAAAGCCTCTGCACAGCCCAGCTCTCGGGGCTTTCAGAGCAGCTTTCCCCACTGCAAGTCTGTTCTTACCCCGGTGCCCCCACTGAGGGGCTGCAGCCAGACAGGCCCCAATGCCCTGCGTGTGGGGCACAGGCAGGAGGAGCTGCAGCCCCAAGTCTCTCTGCATTCCACTTGCAGGCAATAACAGCCCAGGCGTGCTGAGACAGTTCCCAGGTTGCAGGGCTGTGATGGGTTGGGAGAGAAGGCCAAGGAGACACAGGAGAGAAAGAGCAGGAGAGAGGTGTCCTCAGCGGGAAGGAGCTTCTTGGACCTGTGGAGCTGCTCTAGGGGATGAAGAAATTGGGTGAACTTTTGTGGGTGAGGGTCAGAGGAGAGAGTGGTTTGGGTGCCCTTGTGGAGTGAGAGAAAGATCCCATTCCAGTTGTCTTTGATAACCCTGGAATTCACTGGAAAGGTACCATGACAGGATGCAAAGAGTCCCAGAGGTTTGTGCAGAGTCTTGGTCAAGACACCCCTTGGCACACAGGCCTTTAGAGCACAGCTGCTCTAAAGGTTGGTGGACAACAGGGAGGCTCATCTGCATCTGCTTCTGTCCAAGAGGAACCAAGAGGTTCCCATAGAAACTGACCGTAGCAACGGGACTGTATGGTGGTTGCCATGGTAACTGACGGTAGCAATGGAAATGTATGATGGTTGCCATGGTAACTGAATGTAGCAATGGGAATGTGTGATAGTTGCCATGGTAACCGAACATAGCAATGGGAATGTATGAGGGTTGCCATGAAAACCAACCATAGCAATAGAAATATGTGATGGTTGCCATGGTAACTGACAGTGGCAATGAGAATGTATGGTGGTTGCCATGGTAACTGACCATAGCAAAGAGAATGTATGATGGTTGCCATGGTAACTGACCGAAGTAGTGGGTTGTATTATGGTTGCCATGGTAACTGACTGTAGCTACGAGAATGTATGGTGGTTACCATGGTAACTGACCATAGCAAAGGGAATGTCTGATGTTTGCCATAGTAACCGACCGTAGAAATGGGAATGTATGGTGGTTGCCATGATAACCGACTGTAGTATTACAATGTATAATGTTTGCCATGGTAACTGACTGTAGCAGTGGGAGGTATGATGGTTGCAATGGTAACTGACAATGGCAATGGGAATGTATGAGGGTTGCCATGGAAACCGACCATAGCAAAGAGAATGTATGATGGTTGCCATGGTAACTGACCGTACCAACGGGAATGTATGATGGTTGCCATGGTAACTTACCATAGCTATGGGAATAAATTATGGTTGCCATGGTAACTGACTGTAGCAATGAGAATATACGATGGTTGCCATGGTAACCGACCATAGCTATGGGAATAAATGATGGTTGCCATGGTAACTTACCATTGCAATGGAAATGTATGATGGTTGCCATGGTAACTGACCATAGCAATGAGAATGTATGATGGTTGCCATGGTAACCGACTGTCCCATTGGAAGTATGATGGTTGCCATGGTAACTGACCGTAGCAGTGGGGTATATGATGACAATGAAAATGTATGGTGTTTGCCATGGTAACTGACCATAGCAATGAGAATGTATGGTAGTTGCCATGGTAACTGACCATAGAAATGGGACTGTATGATGGTTGCTATGGTAACCAACCATA